ATTATGTGCCCATGGCACTTCTATGAATCCAAGAAAATCACACTTCTTGTTGCTGTTTCAGTGCAAAGATATGGATGTTGACGCTCACTTCGCTGAAGTGCCTATGGGGCCGACACTGTTGCAGGCAAACGAAGCTTATCGGCCTGACAGACTGACAGATGTTCCTATCATTGGACTTTGGTTTATGTCGCCGCACACAGGCACTACCTGAAATGACCTGAATAATGTTGCTCGTTCGGCTGTTGTGGCCAGACCTCCTTTGTACTTACGTTGCAGAATCCTTCGTCAGCATTCGATCCGAACCTGTCAGTGCAACCTTTTGCAGAAGTGTCAGGCAGCAAGCCCTCTGTTGGCTGGTTCCACTCTTTCTCTTTGCGGCGACCAACCTTGATGAAAGCCAAGAAACGAGCAAACCTTCATGCAATCGCTTCGTCCGCAGGTTCGCTGGTGAAGTACAGGGTGCAGGGATGCCTCAAACTGTTCCAAAACTCTGCGGAACCTTTCCGAAACACTCTTATCCACACGTTGCAACACACCGGTTTATATGATTCGAAATTTCTGAATGCTGCCATTTAGAGGCCAGATAATCATTTTGATAGTTGCAAGGACGATGCTGAGAAAGACAATCGCAAGAAAAATATCATTGTTAGATCCCCAAGAAGGTGCAGCCAGAATCAACTTGCAAGGAAGAACGACTATTGTCTGGGAATGATATGCAAAGCACTCGGCCATGCTTGACGGTGGCATGTGCAAGACAACCGAAACTATCTTTGTCTCTATTGCTGGACACGGAACTCGTATGTCAGCTGCGCGCAAGCAGCCTTTCGAAAATGCGGGAAACGCAATTTCCTTCACTGCTTGCGGGGAGGAACGATCCAAGCAAGCCAAGTTCAGAACTGGGAACTTTGCACCAGAAGCCAAAGAAAGCTTGTCCATCCTCCAAGAAGAAACAACGAGTCTACTACCATTTCTGTGCTGTTTGTTCCTGGCAAAGCATTGTTTGAAAGGAATTTGGACCCGCTCAGTCGAGTGGTGGCAGGGCAGTTAATTAAGGCAAGAGCGGCAGGACTGAGCAAATCGCTGTTTCTACTGCGCAGGAACGATACGGGGAACTGATGAAGCCCAGCCTATTTCTTAGCTTTTGCATAAATTCTAGGATAAGCAATTTCCCCGAAAAGCCCTGCCTTTTCGAGAATTGCAACGGAACTCTTGGATTTCTCCAAACCTAGTTTTTGAGATGAATTGGAAGATACATGTTGTGTTTACATGTGTGCTACCCTGTTGGGTGAAAATTTGACGTCAGTCGGCTCACATGTGAATTGTGTATGCTCCTTTATTTCTCAGTGTCCAATATAATGTCAAATAAAGAACATGTGAGAAGTCCCAGATTGCATGTCTACTGGCCAATTTACTCGCCAGTGCTGAAGATTTTCACGGGTGCTCTCCCACAGGTAGCTCACGTTCACAGGACGCTTCTGCGCCTGCAGCTCAACCAACATGTTTGCCAAGGGTGCAGCGCAACAGTGCGCAACAAATCATTTGCAAGCCACCTGGCCATGTTTGTCAAGGCCAGGCTCTAGCGACTAGTGGCAGACTCTTGAAAAAAAAACTTGTCAATGTGCAAACCTAGCATTCCTGTCCACATTGCGCACAACTCGGGTGACACATACACGCACATTGTGCAATAGGCAAATTTTGCGCTCGCTCAGTTGAGCAGGGCAAAGCCAGTATTTACCCCTGCGGATTGTTCCGCCGGCCCTTTTGGCTGAGGGGAGCGGAGGGGGAGGGGGGGGAAAGTTAGACTTGTGAAAAAACCGCGCCGTGGGTACAGCAAAACTACTACTACTAGGATAGCATACAAACCAATCACCTAAAACACGCCGCGCCCAAGGGCCGGCGGATTTGGTAGTGATGCCAGACCAGCTAAGGCAAAAGCGACAACGGATATAGTGTAAGAGGATCGCTGTTGATTTCTACTGCGAATTGGGATTTAGGAAAAAGTACAAATCATCATCAACCAAAGTTAGGCGGAGTCATTTCTGGAATAAATTGGTGTGCTGTTCACGTGCCCTTTTTTTGCATGCCGAGTGCCAGTCTCTCAGAGAAAGTGCATCTATGACAATCACACGCAAAATGCCTGAACTGGGTCCTGAGCAAGGCAAAGTCCTGAGCAGGAGACCAGGCTGCTTGATTGCCAGTAGCCAGGCACCATGTCCTGTCCGTTAGCTACGTTTTGGCAGACGCTCACATGCTTTGCCAGGTATGATTTCGCAGGCATGAAGATTTGAGAGCCAGCATTTGGTAGGTGATGCCAGACCAGCTAAGGCAAGAGCGACAAAAACATACTAAAAAAGGATCGCCGGTGCTACTGCGTAGGGAGGTGGCTACTTACATTCTGCAAGAGAAGCTCCAGCCACCAGCTGACTAGTTTGCTTGGTCTCCGTCACTAGCCTTTTGTGACATAAAAGAGTGCATCTATGACAATCAAAGGCATGATGCCTGAACTGGGACCTGAGCAAGGCCAAGCCGGCAGCTGATTGTGGTGTCAGGCGAACTCAGGCAAGAACAACGCTACTTTTGTTTTTGTCTGATACAGTCCCTCATAGAATATGCATGAGGAGTCCCAGATTGTGGGTCTACCGACCAATCTATTCGGCTTCTACTAGCTTGTAGTGAGAATCTGCAGGGGTACCTTCAGAGGTGGCAAAAATGCAGAACTTTGCCAAAGCAGACTTTCGATCAATGGGTGTTCTATCGTCAAGTCTAACATGCCTGTGTCAGAAAGACTCGAGCAGGATGATGTTCACATTCTCTACCCAACCTAATACCTTGGACTGCAATGTACTACAAGATCAAAAATTGTCATCGATCTTTGTGGTTTTACACAGACGTGTTTCGCCCAATTTGCGGTTTTGCAATCTTTGCTTGCTTGAGAGTGCAGGAAAAGGAATCGTTTCGTGATGCAACAAGTTGTCAAGCCGAGCAGATGAAGGTCATTCGTTGATTCAGGCCTGCACTTTTGGCGTGCCTGTGTGCAAGGCATGTTGCTGAAAGCAGACAATAAGCAGACTTGCGCTGCTGATTTCTTTGTACTGTGTGCACCTGCTGCTAGCTGTTCCGGCAGCACCTCATTCACCTTTGCGATGAAAGATGTGAGGAACACATCTCTACATGTGCAATTGCGAGTATGCAAGCATATTTCCCTGCCTGTCGAATCTCCAAAATTATCTCGAAAAGACTTTCTTCAGATACCGTTGCCCAGAAGTCACATTTTGCTGGAACTCATTTTCAGAGCAATGCGCTTGTTGCCGAGTTATCTTGTACAAAGGATTGTGGCCTGGAGACATGACTCATCTCGGGTGGTTGGAAGCCAGTTGACATTCACAGTCCGATGCAGAAATGGAGGAGGCCAACCCACGTGGCAACCATGGGTACATCTTGACGCCGATGCCTCCTTAGTACCATCCGGCCGTGATGGCTGCGTGCACAGCCTGCGGAGGTGCAAACCATGCAATCACTTTGCAAATTGCGGTACTTCCTTGCTGTAGCTCAAGGCTTTTCCGATACGGATTGAATAGGATGCGGCAGCCGTTTGGAGTTTTGATGTGCCATTCTTGCTGGGACCCAGAGATACCGTGTTTGGTCAAGTTTCGAGACTTTGGCAAGGAAAACGCTAGACCACCACACTGGATCTCTAGGCACGGAGAAAGACCAGATTCTACCAGCGAGTGGAATATCTACTCATGGCTTAAGAGCCGACTTAGACTTGAAGGCCTTCGAAAAAAGGATTTTTGGAAATGTGTGCATGCTTGTTTGCACAACTGCTGGCAACACTTTGCAAGTTGATGTTTGTGAAGCTGATGTCAAAAGGGTTTATTAGAACAGTCTGAATTTATCAAACATTATCAAACAAAGTTTTGCATGTGGCTTCCATCATATTCAATCTTAAGTCATTGTCGTCGCTCCACTTTTTAAAGTCTCTCGCCTTTTTCATCGGAAATCCAAACCTGGCAACCAACACAACCACCTCCACGGATGTGATGTTTTTTGAGTTGCGACGTGCTTGTGAGCGCGCAACCTGCATCGAGCTTGCAGTAGAAATGTCTTGGTGACTAAGGGGTTCTTCAGGCCGTGAGGCAAGGGTTCAGAAACAGGGTACACATGTGTCGCTGGGTCGTTGTTCGGTACGTAAAAGCTTGTGCTCGTAGTTGATTTTCTGCAGAAAAGTCACGAAAAGTTGACTTCAAACCACCAAAAGCCACGAGGATTGCACCGAAAGGTGACCACATCTGAAATGTGCACCACATCGAGAGCGTCGCGACTGCGAAACCACAACTGTGCAAGAGCGGTATCTCGAAGTTGTTGGTTTCAAAGCGCACTTGCACTGTCCATTGCTAGTAGGTTGGAGGCCATCGCTGTTGTGTTTGTAGACATCAGTTATTCACAACACGAGAAAGCTGCCGGAGGCGGTCTGTTCACGGAAAGGGACAACCCTTTGCTACTAGTAGCGATGCCCTTTGTTCCTAGTAGCGTCCTTGCTCCTACTAGTAAGGCCAGGAGCCCCTAGTAGCGTTCTTGTTCCTAGCAGCGATGCCCTTGCTCCTAGTGGCTTCTTGTTCCTAGTAGCAAGGCCAGGAGCTACTAGTGGCATCCTTGCTTCTAGCAGCGATGCCCTTTTTTACCTGGCGCAAATTTCAGAGGAAATCATGCTGTTACGGTATTTGCTGGCGCGCCACGCTGTTACACACTGGCACAGATCAATGCGCCCATTGCTAGGTCTATTACCTCTGTGACGATCCTCTCTCTCGCCTTTTGATAAGCATGATTTCTATTGGTTGCGGGTCGAGATGTTGAGAAACAGCAAAGTGGACACGTTTATCATCGACTCAGCGACGCTGATTTGTGGACGTGGGCCACGAAGGCACTGATGTAGAGCGTTTTTTTCAGTAAAAGCAACGTTCACACGGCCACTGACATGCTCAATTACATGCACCTCAACGTTTTGGCTCTATCAGTGCATCTGGCACCCCTCAGAAATGGCACTCCATGTATTTATTTTTATTGGGGTCCTTTTTGCCAAGGCAGAAGATGAGGCAGGGAGGGTCAAAGGCAAAGCGTTCACCCCTTGGATGAGTTATCCTGCGTCTAGTAGCTAGTAGCTAACTTAGCCCTTACTCAATTAAGCGGTAGTCTCTACTTAACTAAGTAGTAGGGGAGCAGGCTGCGGGCTATTTAAAAAAGGTGTCACTTAATTCCAAGCTAAAAAACACATCCTTGAAACCAAATGATTAGTGTGAGCGTGAGCTGTGCAGCTATCCTGCGTCCTACCTAGGAGCATACAGTACCTAATAGCTACTACTATAACCTTTAAAACAACAAGACGGAGGGATAATAAGGAACACAAATAAAGAAGAAAACAAAAAGGTGTCACTTATTCCAAGAATTCAATCGTTGGCCCGACGCTAGGCCCTGAGCTGCCAATTCCTGCAGACGCATGTCGGCTTGAACGCCTCAGCGCAGGGTCACGATGAGAAGCAACCCAAAAGCGATCATGTTCCTTCAGCAGGCATTTGCGCAACCAAAAGCCAGCTCACTGTGAAGGAGCTTTGTCGACTTGAAGCATCTCCCTCCCACTCTTTCTGTCACCATCATCAGTTATTTACCCGTTAGTAGGCAACCAAGAGACTATTCCTGAAGTTTCCGAAGAAAGGAAAAGCGTAATCACCTAATGCCTATTTGTTTGCTTTAGGTGAGGCTTATTACATAGTGATGTACCATAAGACTGCTGTTTGATGTATATAGATGTGTTTGACTATATATAAATATGCATGTATTGTATGTATTGTTACAGTATATACTGTATTTGTTTATGCCGGCAAAAAGTGCGCAATCATGACGCTCACCACAGGAAACATGCATTACAAATAAAACATATAGTATAGGTTAAAGGTCATGTGCTTCCACCGAGTGCAGCCGAAAGGTGCTTTGTTTATCTTCTTTTTGGTGGGCACACAAAGGTGCTTTGTTTTTTTGTCGAGTCTATTTTTGTTTGTGCTGATCTCGTTCTGAATCATCAATTGCCTCGGAATTGTTCGCTAGAAAGGATATGAAAGATCCAATTATTGAAGTGAGCGCTCGCTATGGCGAAGATGGCTATTGCGTTTTCGGTTCCTTTTCCGACGATTTGAGAACGTGCGCTATTAGCCGTAGCGCGAAGAATCCCAGCTATTATGCATCGGCGTGTCTTGGTTTCGACTGGGTGGTGGAAAACACAACAGAGGTCTGCCATTGTGTTGCGTACGTTTGATTCTTATATATTATATACGCTTGTCAGTGTGCCATTATGCTTGTGACAACAGAGGTTTCAGCCTATCTATGCCGACGTCCTGAATCATTCAGGGGCAACACCAGTTACCCTGAACTTTTATGATGGGCGGACTTTGCTGATCCGCGATCACTCCTCTCCCCATGATGATTTATATTGCTACACAATGGGTTGGTACGACCTACCATGGGAAACACGTTTTGCGGTGGTCAAGAACCTCACCTTTTTAGAAGAGTTTTCTGAAGAGACCTGCGAGAAATTGTCCAAGACTATTCCGAATTACCTGAATATTGCTATGTTTGACTTGCGAAACGAGACAGCAGTGATTGATGCGTTTCTCGTCAATTTGGAGATGGATGCTTATCTGTCCAGCTTGGCATATTTAAAACCAAACCAAACATGCGCTTTGGTGTTGTGAGGAATAGGTTGGATATTTGTTTTTTTTAATGGAAACAGCCTGCAAGCCACTGGTCAGGTTTGTTGTGTATCATGGAACAATTGCCGAATAGCCAAGGATGGAGGCGGAAAAGTCCCTGAATGGGTCGTGGGAAACATGTATCTTCACGCGGCTGCCAAATGTCTCCTAGGACAGCCAAGCACAAGTTTTTTTCGGTCAAAACATGGGCTCCGACCATCAGACTATCGAATAGACCCCGATGGTGACTAATTGTGACAGACTATCAGTCATGCCAACAGTCACAGGCACGGCAGCATTGACCTTAATGAGTGATCTAAAATTGAGTACAGCGCCTTATGTTGGCATTGAAAATTGGTTAGTCAACAGCCCAGAGATGTGTGGCCACCGATTCAAGAACGCCTATCGCAAACAACATCTCTTTCAGCCACAGAAGCACTTGTTGTCTCTTTAGTGTCAACAAGAATCTTAGCATCCCGACCCAAACCCCAGAGAAAAATCACGAAACCAATACATTTATATAGTATATATCATTTGGAGCTGCGGAACCTCGAATCTTTCAGACTTGAAGATTTGCTCCTCTTGGCGATCAGACAGTTGTCGACAGTTGTCGAGTAGGCTCCTTTTCTCGAGGACGAACCGTCGGAAGACACGACCGACGTTCATAGCGTCCGATCGCTCCGTTCGAGTCGCGATGCCAGGAGCCCCCGTTCGTAGCTTCTTGTTACTAGTAGTAAGGCACTTGTTACTAGAAGCGATGCACTTGTTTCTAGTAGCGTCCTTGCTCCTAGTAGCGATGCCAGGAGCCCCTAGTAGCTTCTTGTTATCATGTTGGGATTTAAGAACAAACATGTCCTGGGAGATAGACACGCGCTTGTTTCCACAAATTCTAACCAACGATCATGTGAAGGGACTAGATGTACGAAACAGCTTTAAGATTCGACATATTTCCTGGCCTTTGCAGGAGGGAACCGTGGAGCATTGTGTGATATTGCCAACTGTGCACAACGTGGCTGCTTTGGTGAGGACAAAACTACGCTTCTCTACACGGTGCGAGGTGAATGCCCGTCGCCGCTGTCTGGATAAGCTCAAAGCCGCTTTTCACAGATCAAGCATGATCATGCTCAAGTTTAGGGTACGAGGCAAGAGGATGTTAAAAGGATCGTGTCATGTGGTGAGCTGGTGTAAGGGGACATGAAGGGAGAAGGAGTATGGCGCTATCGTGTACAAACAAATATCAATTGAACTTGATGTCTATGATGGATCCATGAGGAAGTCTTGTCACTTTTTCCATGAGAGATTTGTGTTCACCTTGCTGAGTTGGTTTGGCAATCGTCGGACCTGGTCGTGGTAAAGACACAGGAGGATGAAGCGATGGCCTCCGACCCAATAGCGATGGCCTACAACCTAGGCCATCACTGGCCATTGGGGATTTGGGTGTACGTGTTTACACATGTTTACACAGTTTACAGAGGAGCAAGGACGCTACTAGGGGCTCCTGGCCTTTCTACTAGGAGCAAGGACGCTTCTCACCGGTGATGGCCGGCACCGCTCCGGGGGCCTGACTCACAATGTGTTTCCAACAGGTAGTTAAAACGTCGTGAAGAATGGGTGACTATTTGCTTCACGAGTAAGGGGAGATTCGCTGGTATGTGCTTGTTGCCTGTTGCTTTTAACCGCCTTCTGCGATTCGCTGGTGAATGCAGGCTGAAAGGTGTCGAACCAATGAAACTAAAGCACACTAAAACTATATATAATGTATGTAAAAATACTCGTTCCGAGTTTGACAAGTAGACCTGCAGCTAGAATTACATAATGTATCCCAAGGACCCTCAAGTCAACTCCTGATTTAAAGCAGACATGCGACCTAATGAAACCAGTAATTAATCGATGCAGTTATCATTCTTTATTGTAGGTTGGAGGCCCTCGCTCTTAGGTTGGAGTTGGAGGCCATCGTTAGTAGGTTGGAGGCCGTCTACAGACATGATGGACTGCCTTCTCCACTCCCCGCCATGCTAGATTATTTTCGCGTCAACATTCTGGCTCTATCAGTGCAGCTGACATCCTTCAGCAATGGCACTTTACATTTTTATTTTAGTTGGGTTCCTCTTTGCCAAGGCAGAAGATGAGGCGAGGAGAAAAGGAGAAGAACCCAGTGAATCACTGGTGATCATGTTTTTTATGTTCTTCAACTGTTCAATTGAATGAATGTCACTGTGGTGCTAGGTGCTCCAGAGTTTGCAGTTCCTGCAGACACATGTGGGTTTGAACACCACCTCGCAACGGAGTCACAATGAAACAGCGCTCGCAGCAAGAGGCATTTGTGTGACCGATGACAAACTTACTGTGAAGGACCTGACGTGTCACTTGTTTTCTCGCATCTACCATCTCCCACATAAACTGGCCACCATCAAGCGGCATCAGCATGATCCATTAAAAATGCCACAAACCATTACAAACCAGAGGTAGCGATCCGACAGTAGAAATTTGACGTGGCTTTGCGCGTGTTTTGTTTTAGTTTTTGATATCCCCAATTGGGAAGTCAAACTTGCACTGGTTAGCTGGAAGGTATGATAAAAGGCATCCTTACTCGTTGCTAGGGATGTGACAAAGGAAGAACCGTCCCATCAGATTCATGAACGCTAAGAAAGGATCTGGAAGACCCCGTCCTGGAAGTGATGGCACGCTATGGTGAAGATGGCTATTGTGTCTTCGGCAATTTTTCTGATTGTTTGAGCGAATGTGCTCTTGGTCGTAGAGCCAGGGATCCCAGCTACTATCCATCATGGTTTCTTGGCATTTTGTGGTTGAAGTTTCTGTGCAGTGTTTCCCTGATGTGCTGATGTTTTTTTGTTCCTTTTAAACCATATGGTCATATGAAGCTTGACATCTCTCGATGCGACAACAGAGGCTTACTCCCATCTATTCCGAAATTCTGAATCGTTCATGGTCAACACCAGTTACCCTGAACTTTTTTGATGGGCGGACCGTGGTGATCCGCGATCATTACTTTCCGGCTGATGACCTGTATTGCATTGCAATGGGCTGGTACGACCTACCATGGGCAACACGTTTCGCTGTGGTGAAGAACCTCACGTTTTTGGAAGAGCTTTCCGAAGAGACCTGCGAGCAATTGTCCAAGAGCATTCCGGATTATTTCAATATATCAATGCAAGACATGATAAATGAGACATATGTGAGTGAAACATTCATGATCAATTTGGAGATCGATGCTTGCCTGTCCCAAGTGGCATATTTTTTAGCCGACTATGCCTCCGAGGTCCTAGGTGTTGTGAGGGATATGAGTCATGAAAGAGATGTCCGAAATCCATCGAAATCCTGCCAACTGCCACACAGCTTTGTCCCTCGGGATAGCCGAGGATTCGGATGGGACAGGGAAAATCCCTGAATGGGTCGTGAAGAACCAGTATCGCCATGCAGCTGCCAAATGTGTCCTAGGACAGCAAAGCTTTTGCAAAGACTTTAAGAGTTTCTTGTCATGTTAGGTTTACTTCAGCTGATTGACAGAGATGGGTAGCAAAGAGCAACAGGATTGTTTCGCAGAGGGAAGTTTGCAAATCAAATTTCTTTAAAAGAAGGACTAGATGTACGAAACAGCTTTAAGATTCGACATATTTCCTGGCCTTTGCAGGAGGGAACCGTGGAGCATTGTGTGATATTGCCAACTGTGCACAACGTGGCTGCTTTGGTGAGGACAAAACTACGCTTCTCTACACGGTGCGAGGTGAATGCCCGTCGCCGCTGTCTGGATAAGCTCAAAGCCGCTTTTCACAGATCAAGCATGATCATGCTCAAGTTTAGGGTACGAGGCAAGAGGATGTTAAAAGGGTTGTGATTCGTCAATGATTCACGGGTGAAGCCTCTAGCTCTAACTTTTTTGTCGTGCTGATTTGTGATTTGCTCAGGCATGGTGCTGAGTAAGTTGGTCAGGGTATGGCCGCAAGTGCAGTCGTTCTCCCACTGGTTGTTGTCCGATTGGAAAGAAAGTGGTTGCATTCTAGACTCCTAGACCTGTTTATTGTTTCTACGTTGTTTGTATGTCTCGATCAAGGAACAGACTTTCCACTGCCATGTGTTGAGCTGAAGTCCTGATAGTTGAAGGCCTTTGCAGGAGACATGTCCTCGTAGCCAGCGCCTTTGCAGCCAAAGTTATCAAGGCTACAATGCATTGGCCAAACAAGTACTCGAGGCTTTTACGGCATCACGCAGGTCCAGGTGTTTGTTGCACTGATGAATTGTTATATTGGAACAGCTAAATAAGATATACAATTGTACAATTATACTCTACTTATGGATCCAATTACTAGCTTTGATCCCCCCGCGTGCGAGCTTTGCCGCCAAACTTGCCATGGCTGCTATGGCTGCAGCCATGCGTTCATCATGTCTCGCCGCTCGAGGCAACTTCCGCGCGATCGTCCGTCGTCCGATCGTCCGTCAGATTCTTGCCAGGAGGTTGGCGCAAGATATTGCAGCACCCTGTTTGCAGTTATGGGGATGCATGGATGTGTTTCTGTACTCATGTTGGAGCCAAGGTCATGAAAGGTAGCTCAAGCCACCTCAGTTGCCCTTGCTTTAGCGAGTTCATGTGTTGTGAGAGGGTGGCTTCATTCAGGTGTTCCGGAGTGCCTGGGTTCCTCATCTCCTCATCTACTTCATTTGCCTCATGTTCATCCATCCTCATTCTCATTTTATTCTTGGATCCTTATCGTCATGGCTTGTGTTTTTGTTTGTTTTCCCTCCTCGTCCTCATTTTCCATGCTGTTCATCCTCACTTTCGAGTCCTCCTTCAATCCGAAAAGTCCGAGGTCCCTGAGTCCGCCACATTTCTCCCGGCGAAACTTGAAAGTCTCTGGGGAGTCGTCACCAATGAAGACTAGTCACACTTCAAAAGTGCAAGCGTACTGGTACCTGCATATGTGTATTGCTCTCCACATTTTTGTCAACACCGGTGCCAAAACTTTCGAAGTTGAGGGCAGTTCCGCAGGTTGGTTCGCCGGTTCTTTGGGGGTTATTGCTGGAATTGGAGGCCATTGCTACTAGGTTCGAGGCCATCGCCATTAGGTTGGAGGCCATCGCTACTAGGGTGGAGGCCATCGCTACTAGGTTGGAGGCCATCGCTACCAGGTTGGAGGCCATCGCTACTAGGTTGGAGGCCATCGCTATTAGGTTGGAGGCCATCGCTACTAGGGCGGAGGCGATCACCATTATAGGTTGGAGTTGGAGGCCATCGCTACTAGTTACTAGATGCTACTAGGGTGGAGCCATCGTTACTAGGGCGGAGGCGATCGCCATTATAGGTTGGAGGCCATCGCTACTAGATGCTACTAGGGTGGAGGCTAACGCTACTAGGGTGGAGGCCATCGCTACTGTGGAGGCCATCGCCACTAGGTTGGAGGCCATCGCTACTAGGTTGGAGGCCATCGCTACTAGGTTGGAGGCCATCGCTACTAGGTTGGAGGCCATTGCCACTAGGTTGAAGGCCATCGCTACTAGTGATGACTGTTTACGTGTTTAATGGTTGCATTTACTTTTCAGTTTTTCCTTAATGAAAACTGTTGGTAGTAATGGCACGCAAAAAAAAGAGGAAGTAAATGTTTTTGTTGCTGGCCACTATGTTTCTTTCCTTTCATCAATGGCTCCTGCAGAAGTGCGCACTCAATCTGTTCTGGTGGCAAGGCAGCTCCCAGTGCGCATGCAGCCTGGGAGCTTCTCCGGTCACAAGCAAACTTTGATCAGATCCATGTTGCAGCTGCTTGGTTTGCGTCAATGCCTGTCATCAGGCAATTGGATCGTGTGGTTTTCAGCTTGCTTTCTTTTAGTCTTGCTTGATTGGTTCCAAATAAGGCCTGCCTGCACCGTATGGCAACACAACAAGCATCCCCGCCTGCTTTGCAGGAGATCTCTTCGTTTGGTTGTTGTTCGTTGGTATTTGTGGCACATCTTTAGAATTCTTTAGAAAAGGGCGATCATTAGTTCACATGTTTCATTTACAGTTCCCCTTCAAGGGTTACCCCTCATCGTTTGTGGACCCAGCAGGAACTGCTCTCCTACGTTGAGCCAGAGAAGCTTGATGTTGATATGCTGGCAACCAAGCTGAAAGTTGCGAAGCTCTACTGTGACAATATGCCAAGAGAGCAGTGGGTCATGAGGCAGTGCAGGGAGGGAAACCAAATGGATCCAACGTCAAGTTTGACTACAGAGATTGCATCACAGAATCAAAATGCGATCGAAGAATCGTAAATGGTTTTTGACTGCAGAAGACCAGTAGGGATGTCCTATTGCATTGGATATAGGCTGTAAACACAAGAGGACAAGAGGTTACAAAGACAGACTATATGTACGTTCTTATAATATATTTATATATATTTATATTTATATTTATCACGAAAGCTAGCCGATAGGCAAGGCTTGAGTTCTTAGGGTGAACGAAGTGAATAAAGGGGGTGTGGGGGGGGGTGGTCGCACAGAGCCTGATTTTGGAGGCCGAACCTGGAGCCTGGTGGGGGAGAGCGAAAAACAGTTGGGTCCGGAATGCATCAAAAAAGCTCCAAAAAGCGGCTTGGTGATGCAAGTGATGTAATGGACGCCTAGTAGTGCATCATTAGCATCATGAAGGGCTTTGGAGACTATTTGGGCAGTGGGCATAGAGGACTCGAGTAGGGACAAAGACCCGCGTACAGGGGCCCACGTATTGAAGCGGCATCTGGCTTTTGTCCCCCCCCTTCTCAGGCTTATATGTCTCTATAGGTTATTTATGACCCTTGCTCCTGAACAATCATAACCAGATCATAATTGTGCTTCAGCATAGCTGTTTCCTTAACAAAACATAACCACACCAGACACTGTGTATTATGTGCCAAATCCAATGAGCAATGTATTCTTGATGTTTTGTTGCGGCTTGTCCATTGACTAAGCTCATCAAAAACCGCACATTCAAGGAAAACAGACCCTACCTCCCATGAATTTGTGTGTGTTTTTTCTGGCTGTGGTTCCTCTTTAGTGACCAAAAGAACGAAACCAAAAAAAAAACAGAACAGAAACAAGCATGCAGCATGCAGCAAACTCTTAGCTCATGTTTGCCTCGTAGATAGATTGTTTGTTTGTGGCCTCCTTACTCCTTGCTTCTGATTGTGCAGTGGGTTCTGAATCAAACACCTTTGATATGTCCCAAGAACCTTTATGCCATATATAATTTTTGTTGTAGCTGTCGCTATGCTGTACTAGAT